CTAAAGAATTTCATGATGACAAAGAAAACCCTACACAGGCTCCTGAAAAATGTTCTAGAGAGGGATCAAAATGATCAGAACTCCACGAACGAGAACAGAAGCAACCAACTAAATACGGCAAACAAACACAGGAGAAAAAGGAGTAAACAAGTAAACAACATCAGGTAAATAACATGTCAATCATAGGTCAATACATCTCAATTATAACCATCAGTGTAAATGGACTCAATTCACCAAGTAGGAGAGATAACACTGGCACAGTGGATTAGGAAACAAAATCCAACAATATGCTGTATACAAGAAACGCACTTAACTCATAAAGAAATTCACAGGCTGAAAGTCAAAGGGTGGAAAACAATACTACATGCCCCAGCACCTCAGAAAAAAGCAGGGGTAGCAATCCGGTTCTCAGACAATCTCAACTTCAAACCAAGAATGATCAAGCGAAATAAAGAAGGCCACTATATACTGGTTAGGGGAAAAATTCAAGAGGAGGAGGTAACACTAATAAATATGTATGCACCAAACACGGGAGCACCCAACTATATAAAACAAATCTTAATGGGCATGAAAAATTTAATATCCAATACCACAATCTTAACAGGAGACCTTAATATCCCCTTATCACTCCCTTATCCCAAAAAGATAGGTCAACCAGACAAAATATTAGCAAAGAAGTAACAGAACTGAACCAGAGCTTGAAACAAATGGACTTGGTGGACATATACAGTGTTCCACCCAAACACAGATGAATATACATTTTTCTCAGCTGCACATGGGTCATTTTCTAAAATAGACCACATACTGGTCAATAGGTCATGCTTAAGTATATGCAGGAAAACAGAAATTATCTCATACATATCATCTGACCACAGTGCAATGAAACTGGAATTAAATGACAAAAGAAACCAGAAAAAAAAAACCCTAAATACATGGAAATTAAACAACATCCTACACAGCAACCAATGGATCACAGATGAAATTAAACAAGAAATTCAAAAATATCTACAATTCAATGAAAATTCAAACACAACTTAGCGGAATTTATGGGACATGATGAAAGCAGTTCTCAGAGGGAAATTCATAGCTGTGAACTCACACATTAGGAAAACAAAATAGGAACAAATAAACACCCTAATGCTGCACCTCCAACAACTAGAAAAGGAAGAGCAAACCAAACCCAGAGCCCAAAGATGGGAAGAAATCATAAAGATTAGAGCAGAAATTAATTCAATTGAGATGAAGAAAACAGTTCAAAGAATTAACGAAACAAAAAGCTGGTTCTTTCAAAGACTAAATAAAATCAATAAGCCCCTAGCTAACCTCATCAAAAAGAGG